ATGGAGGGGGGAGGGAAGGATGGAGAGGCATGGAACGGGAGGAAGGAAGGATGGGCGGGGAAGTAAAATGGGAAGGAAGGAAGGATGGGATGGAGGGAATGCAAGGGTGGCGAGGGAGGGAGGAAGAAGGCTGGAGAGGATGAGGGGAAGGAAGGAAGGATGGCGAGGGAAAGAAGGATGGGAGGGCAGTCTAAAGTGGAGGGAAGGAAGGATGATAGGGAGGGAGAAGGGGAGGGAGGAGGAGGAAGGAAGGTGGAGGGGGAGAGGAAGGAGGATGGGAGGAAGGAAGGATGGGAGGAAGGCAGGAGGATGTAGGAAGGAAGGTATGGGGATGAGGGAAGAAGGAGGAGATGGGAGGGAAAGAAGGATGGAGGAGGATGAGGAAGAAAGGAGGAAGGATGATAGGTGAAAGAGGATAGAAAGGAGAAGAAGAAAGAAGATGAGGCATCTCTGAGGGAGAAAGAAAGGGAGATAACAATAAGGAAGGGTTGGAGGAGAGAGCTAAAGAAGGATGGAGGGAGGGTTGCAAGAGGAAAGGAAAATAGAGGAGAGAAGAACATGAAGGAATAGAAGGGGATAGAGAGGAAGTAGTTCACTCTGGGGAGACAGAAAGGACAGTAGCAAGAAGCGAAGAAAGAAAGGGAAGTAAGGAGGAAGAAAGGGAAGAGAGGAATAGAGAGGCATGATTTGATCTCGCAGAAAGGAGGAAGGAAGAGGGAATAAGAGATGAAGGAGGGAGGAAGAGAGAGTAAGAAAGGGAGAAACAAAAGAAGAGATAGAGAAACAGAGAGATNTCTCTCTCTTCTCTTCTCTCTCTCTACTTCCTCTTTCTCTTTTACTTTCTCTTTCTCTTTTTCTTCTGCTTCTTTCTCCGTCCCTCCCCTCGTTTCTCTCTCATCTCTCTCTTCTCTCGTCTCGTCCTCTCCTCTCATCGTCTCTCTATCTCTCTCGTGCTTCTCTCTCGTCTCTCTTCTCTCTCTCATCCTCTTCTGCCTCATCTCTTTCTCTTTCTCTTTCTCTTTCTCTTCTTTCTTTCTCTCTTTCTCTCCCTCTTCCGCTCCTTTTCCTCTCTCTCTCTCTCTCTCTCTTCTCTCTCTCTCGTCCTCTCTCTCTCTCTCTCCTCTCTCTCTCTCTTCTCTCTCTCTTCTCTCTCTTCTCTCTCTCTCTCTTCTCTCTCTCTCTCTCTCTCTCTCTCTACTGCTTCTTCTTTTCTCTGGTTGTTCTTTTTCTTCTTTTTCTCACTATTTTTTTTCCTTTCATTCGTTTCCAAAATTGTTTGCAAGAGCAGGTGTGCAATCGAATTCATTTCTTAATTGCAAGATGGTGCAATGCGAGGATTATACTAGTGAACATTCTGGAACCGATTTCTTGACGTATCTATTGATTATCTACTTTATCTGTCTGTTCCTCGTTTTATTCCAATTTTTTTGTTCATTTTTCGTTGTATGTTTATCTTTCACTTGCTTGTGAGGGTTTTTCTTCTTCATCTTATCTTCTCTCTCTCTCTCTCTCTCTCTCTCTCTCTCTCTCTCTCTCTCTTTCTCTCTCTCTCGTCTCTCTTCTCTCTCTTCTCTCTCTCTCTCTCTCTTCTCTCTTTTCTCTTTCTCTTTCTCTTTCTTCTTTCTTTTTCTTTTTCCTCCCCCTTCCTTCTTTCTCTCTCTCTCTCTCTCTTCTCTCTCTCTTCTTCTCTCTCTCTCTCTCTCTCTCTCTCTCTCTCTCTCTCTCTCTCTCTCTCTCTCTCTCTCTCTCTCTCTCTCTCCTTCATTATTTTCCCTGGGTGTGACCTGAAACTTATCCCTTCATCTTCGTACTTTCCTTTTACCCCCCCTCCCTAAAAAGGGGGGGGGAGGGAGGGAAGGAGGGAAAAATCGGCGAACATGTTTCACGAAGAAAAAAGATAGGAAATCGATGATATTGGTTATTTGATAAAGGAAAGAAAAGAGAATGAGGAAGAGGGGGAGGAGGACGGGTAGGTTGGCGAGAGAGGGATGAGAGAGAGAGAGAGGGAGAGAGGATGAGAGAGAGAGAGAGAGAGAGAGGGAAGAGAGAGAGAGAGAGAGAGAGAGAGAGAAGAGAGAGAGAGAGATGAGAGAGGGAGAGAGGGAGAGAGAGAGAGAGAGAAAGGGAGGGGAGGAGAGAGGATGAGAGAGAGAGAAAAAAGAAGAGAGAGAGAGAGAAATACCCGCGCAAACAGGAATAAGAAAATAACTTGAACTTTGACCAGATTGTTAAAATTGTGGAGACAAACCAGAAATTACTTATATCAAACATGCAAATATCACATAAAATAAACGCATATATCATCACAGATACATTCATCTATCTATCATTAAAATTCAATATCATATCATCGATATATCTATATCTGAGATACATTCATCATCTATTATCATTTCTACATTCATCTTCTATCTATCTGATATATATGAATTCATCTATCTATCTATCCGATAGATATACATGACGAGATTGACAGATAAGTGTTTATTTCGATAAATAGATATATCCGTATAATGAATAATCATTGGATTGCATATCATCATCTTCATCATATCTTTGAGAATTATGATTACTAAAAATACCCGTGTCATCATTACAAAAGAACAATGATTACTTTTCGTCATCAGTGATGTAGTTACGATAAAGTTGCTCTGTCTTCATTTATAAACTTTATTATTGTAGTTTCCAAGTCAAACGAAAGCAAAAAGCGTGTTTGTGTTTGTGTGAGTGTGTTTGTTTGAGAGGAGAGAGAGGAGAGGGAGGGGAGAGGAGAGGGAGGGGGGGGAGAGAGGGAGAGGAGGGAAGGAGGGAAGGGAGGGGAGGGAGGAGGGTGGGAGAGGAGGGCAAGGAAGGAGGAGGGGAGAGGAGAAGGAAGGAGGAGGGAGAGGAGGGAGGTGAGGGAGATATAAAAGGGAGAGAGGAGGAGGATTGAGGGAAGGAAGGAGGGACGGAGAGAGGGAAGGAAGGAGGGACGGTGGAAGAAGAAGAGAGAAAATTAAAAAGAGAGACAGGGAAGGAAATACAGACAGATAGATAAACAGAAACAGACACAAAAGACACACACAGATAGATAGAAAGATAGATAATAGAGAGGGGAACGGTGTGATGGAGAAGAGAGAAAGAAAGAAAAAAAGATTTAAAAAAATAAAGAGAGGGAAGGCGCGGTGATATGTGGAAGAGAAAAAAGTAAAGAAAGAAAAAGAAAAAATGAAAAAAAGAGAGACAGTACATATCTATGGAATACAATGTACTCTATCGGTTATCCGGATTTAATATGTCGTTTTATCCTATTATTTTAACCGACAGTCCATAACCTCATATTAATAAAAAAAAAAAAAAAAAAAAAAAAAAAAAGGAAATTAAAAAGAAATTATAAAAAAAAAATCAATCTGAATGGAAAAGATCAACATATCCGGTACAAAAAAAAAAAAAAAAAAAAAAAAAAAAGCTTTAGACTTAAGGTAGGATATTACTTTCCATTTTGAAATAAAAGATTAACCTAATGCTTTTTTTTTCATTTTCTGTCGCTTGTAATCTTCTTGTTTAATTTCCTTTTCCTTTTCTTTTTTTTTGGGGGGGGGAGGGGGGGAGGGGGGAATTCGGATTTCGTTAATTGGACGGAAATCCTCGTTTCGAAATAAAATTTCCTGTTTACTCGGTTTTAATAATAGCGAAGTATTTCCTTATTTGGGTTTGGTCCTATGGACAATTTTTCCCCTTTTTTTTCTAATCATCATTATCATCATTATCATCATTCTCTTCTTCTTCCTCCTTCTCCGGATTCTTCTTCTTTAGTATCTTATTTTCTTTTCTCCTTTTCCCCTTTTTTTGTCTTTTTTTACTATATATATTTTTTTTGAAAAGCCGAAATTCTAGATTTTTAAAATGTCGTTACCCTCTCCTTCGTGATGGATTTTTCTTTCAATATTTTTTTTAATCCCATTCTATGAAATGAACATGAAAGTTAAAAAAAAGAAGAAAAAAAAAGACTTGAATAAGGGTTAAAAGTTTTCAATTTTTCTTTTCTTTTTTCAGGTCCTGCACGATCACTGCCAACAACACTTGGACGGACTCAACCACATGAAACAACTGCTGTCTGACTAGTAGCTGATATATGGTTAACAGCTGCTGTTTTTGGCTAACAGCTGCTGCCCGTCGAACTTCAGCTGTTGTCTGACCATCTCGCAGCTGTTAACTATTGCTGTCTGTCTAACAATTGCTGTCTAATAACTGTTTTCTGATTAACAGTTCTTACCTACCTAACAGCTACTGTCCAACACACAGCTGTTATCTAAGAACTATCTATCTAACAGCTGTTATCTGCGGAACAGCTGATATAAAACAATCAGCTGTTGCATAGTAGAGTAATAACTCATGGGAGTGATGGATAAGAAGAGACAATAAGATTTATGCATTTTCCCGCCACCATTGTCACCTAGAAAACAGCAAAAGAGAGAGAAAAGACGGACAAAAAAGCGTACACAGCAATATCGTTAATGGATTTAGTGTAGTAATAGTGATAATAGCTATCAATTTGATTAAATGAGCTGAGGGAATACAGAATCAGCTGATGAAAAAACCCGTGTTCGTGATAGCGTTGAGAAGAGCAAGCAATCCGGCGCTTATTATCCTTCGTGTGTCGTGTCTCAGTTTCCGCTGAGGATGATTATCTCTTGTGATTGGAGTTCTATTTAAGAGAGACGAGACGCGACGATATTAAGAGGCGAAGAGGGGGAGAAAAAGAACATTTGGCGTCGGAGCCACTTGTGTCTTTCTACGGTTTTCATTTTTGAACAAGAGAGTTTTTTTTTCATTTCTCGTTTATCTATTTTTCACTTGCTTGTGAGTGTTTTCTCTCCCTCTATTCTTTCTCTCTGTCTTTATCTTTCTTTCCCCCTCCCCCGCTCTCTCTCTCTCTCTCTCTCTCTCTCTCTCTCTCTCTCTCTCTCTCTCTCTCTCTCTCTCTCTCTCTCTCTCTCTCTTCTCTCTCTCTCCTTTTCTTTCTTTTTCCTCTTTGAAACATGAATGACAATTCGGACAACTGAGTTCGAATCCGTTGCGAAATGACTAGCGAATCCCTCTCCTCGGTCATGGCGATCCTCGGACACGCGGCCACGACTTCGGACACGGCGATGGAGAAGGACCCTTACGCCTCGTCGCTCCTGGACAACCTGACCCTCAGTTCGGCCCCGGCAGCGTCGGAGGAGGAGGGGGAGGGGGCGCCGTCGGCCACGCTTCCCCTCTCTCTCCTCCGCGCCCCCTCCCCTCCCCGCCCTGACCCAGGGATGCTCGAGGACCCCTCCTACCGCTCGCTCCTCGACAACCTCACCGTCTTCTACCCGGACCTCCTCAGCTACATCAACCTCACCAACTGGACCGACCTCCCGTTCCTCCTCGAAGGCTCCGAAGCGGGTCTCGCCGGCGGCTCCGAACTCCCTCCCCCCGGCAACGCCACGGCGCCCTCGGGAGCGGTCGCGGCGGACGAGACGGCCCTCTACGACGTGCCGACGGGGATCGTGGTCCTCCTGAGCATCTTCTACGGCAGCATCTCCCTCGTCGCCGTCGTCGGGAACGCGCTCGTCATGTGGATCGTCGCCACGTCCAGGAAGATGCACTCCGTCACCAACTACTTCATCGCGAACCTGGCGCTGGCGGACATCATCATCGGCCTCTTCGCCATCCCGTTCCAGGTGGGCCGCTGTCTGTCTGTCTGTCTCTATTTTTACCTGTCTGTCTGTCTCTCTGTCTCTATTTTTACTTGTTTGTCTGTCTCTATTTTTATCTGTTTGTCTGTCTGTCTGTCTCTATTTTTACATGGTTATCTATCTATCTATTTCTATGTTTATCTGTCTGTCTCCATTTTTACCTGTCTGTCCGTCTATCTGTCTCTATTTTCATCTGTCTGTCTGTCTGTCTGTCTCTATTTTTACCTGTCTATCTATCTATCTATTTCTATGTTTATCTGTCTGTCTGTCTGTCTCCATTTTACCTGTCTGTCCGTCTATCTGTCTCTATTTTCATCTGTCTGTCTGATTGTCTCTATTTTTTCCTGTTTATCTATCTATCTATTTCTATATTTATCTGTCTGTCTATCTGTCTGTCTGTCTGTCTCCATTTTCATATGTTTATCTATCTATCTATTTCTATATTTATCTGTCTGTCTGTCTCTATTTTTATCTGTTTATCTATCTATCTATTTCTATATTTATCTGTCTGTCTGTCTGTCTGTCTCTATTTTTATCTGTTTATCTATCTTATCTATTTCTATGTTTATCTGTCTGTCTGTCTGTTCTCTATTTTTAACCTGTCTGGCCGTCTATCTGTCCTCTATTTTTTATCTTCTCTGTTCTGTCTCTATTTTACTTGTTTATCTATCTATTTCTATGTTTATCTGTCTGAAAATCTGTCTATCTCTGTCTATCTGTCTGAAAATCTGTCTATCTCTGTCTATCTGTCTATCTCTATGTCTACCTGTTAATCTATCTATCTATTTGTATATCTCCTTTTCTGAAAATCTGTCTGTCTCTCTGTCTATCTGCCTATCTCTATGTCTCCAGTGTACTTTTTTTTATCTATTTCTACCTGTCTATCTGTCTGCCTCTATTTGACTGTCTATCTGTTTATTTCTACCTATCTGCCTGTCTGTTTATCTACCTATTTTTATATCTATCTCTGTGTCTACCTGTTTATCTATCTATCTATCTATCTATTTCTATGCTTATGCTGAACTAAAACTGGTCATCTATCTCCATTTCTACCTGTTTATCTGTCTATTTCTATGTCTATCTGTCTGAAAATCTGTCTGTCTCTCTGTTTGTCTATCTATCAGTCTATCTATACATCTATTGGGCTTTTGCCACCCCGTTCCAGGTGGGCTTCCGAATCTACCTATCTGTCTATGTGTCTGTCTGTATGTCTTTCTATTTACATCCCTATATATCGATCTATCAATCTGTCTATTTATCAGTCTATGTATCTGTGAATCTATCATATTGTATCTATATTCATATATATATTATATATATATATATATATATATATATATATATATTATGTATATATATATATATATATATTATAATATATAGTATATATATATATAATATTATTATATATATATATATATATAATATATATATATATATATATTATGTACGTGGCTATCTTATTTGTCTATTTATCAGTCTATCCATGTAGCTGTCTATCTGTCTATCTTTCTATATTTATATCTATCGATTATGCCTATCTATCTACTTATATCTATCTATTTCGTTCTGTCTGTCTGCATGTATCTAATCTATCAGTCTATCAAACGATCCAACGATCTATCTTAGCTTTCTATCTGTCTACCTACTTACCTATCTATCGGACTCATTTTTCTCTCTCTTTCTTTCGGTTCTTTAACTACCTATCCAATCTTTCTCTTTACGTAGGGAGAGAGAGAGAGAGAGAGAGAGAGAGAGAGAGAGTAGAGAGAGGACGAGAGAGAGAGAGAGAGAGAGAGAGAGAGAGAAAGAAAAGGCAGAGAAAGAGAAAGAGAGAAAATATCAGATTTTATATTTCTCGGAGAGAGAGAGAGAAAAAAAAATAATATCTGAGAGAAAAAGGCTGTGTGTGTGTGGAGGGAAGGGAAGGGAAGAGGGGGGGGGGAGCGGTCGGGGCATTATTCATTTCTCCCCTCCCCCCTTCCCCCCCCCCCCTCCCCCCCTACCTTCAACTTCCCTCTCATACGAACTTCCGCCTTCGGATAAGTTCAATATCTGGTCCTGACCACCTCACTCCCGGATTCCCTTTTTCTTATTTGGGATTTTTTTTTTTCCCCACTCTACGTTTTTCATCTCCATTCGCCCCTTTTTTCTCCCCTCCCCTCCTCCCTCCGCTCCTCCTCCTCCTCCTCCCCTATCCCCCATTCCTCCTCCTCCTCTTCCTCCCCTTTCCCCCGTTCCTCCCCCTCTCCCTCCCCGCTCTCCCCGTTTCCCCCTCCCCCCCCTCCCCCTCCCCTCCTCCGCTCCTCGTTCCCACTTCTCTATCTATATTTCTAATGGTCTGTTTGGTTATTTTTATTTTGCTCTCTCGCTCTCATTGTGTGTTTTCTCTCTCTGTCTATTTAGTTTTTTATCTAATTTCATATCTATTTATTCGTGGTCTTATCAGTCTTCCTATCTTCTGGTGGAAGGTTTTTTTTATTGCTCCTCTCGCTTCTTACTGTGTGTTTTTTCTCTCTCTTTGTTCTCTCTGTTATTTATAGTTTTTTTATGGATCTAATTTCATATCTATTTATTTCGTACTGTCTATCAGTCTTCCTATCTCTCTCTTCTATCTATCTTATATTTATCTAGGTTCACTCCTCTCTCTCTATCTATCTATCTCTATTTCTGGTGTGTTTTCTGTGTGGTTTTCTGTGTGTGTGTGTGTGTGTGTGTTGTGTGTGTGTGTGTATTTCTCTCTCTCTCTCTTCAGGTCTCTCTCTCTCTCTCTCCGTCTCTCCTCTCTCTCTCTCTCTCTCTCTCTCTCTCCTCTCTTCTCTTCTCTCTCTCTCTCTCTTTTTCTCTTGTTTTTTCGTCATTCTTTTATATCACGGATTTTCAAAAGCTTATTCTGTCTCTTTCGCTTTTTATTCATTTCATCCTATTCCCTTTTATAGGATTCGTTTTTTTCGATTCTTTTCTCTTCTGTAATCTTTTTTTTATTCTTATTAATCCATTTTCCGTGTCTGGTTTTTCTATTTTTTTCCTGTTTTTTTCTGTTTTCCTTTTTTCGTGTATTGTTTTGTTTAATGTTTGTCCATTTATGTTTTTTTTTTTTTTGTCCTCTCTCTGGCTCCTTATTTATTTGTATCTTTATCTCTGTATTTATGTACACTTTTTTATTTGTTTGTCTGTATTGTCCATTTATTCTTGCCTGCTTGTTTGTCTTAACTTTGATTTTTCTCTCCTTTTTTTCTAAAATATTCTCACTCTCACTCTTTCTTTCTTTCCTTCTTTTCTTTCTTTCTTTCTTTCTTTCTTTCTTCTTTCTTTCTTTTCTTTCTTCTTTCTTTCTTTCTTTCTCTCTCTCTCTCTCTCTCTCTCTCTCTCTCTCTTTCTTTATTCAACGAGAGAAAAGATTTGCTACGCTTTATAATGCTTCAAATATAACTGCATTCTTTCCAAATCTGCTCTGCTCGATGTTGCAAAAGGAATCTCTCCTTAATTAAAACATATTGCAGGTAAAATAACGAAGCCTCTATTCTTTTAATATAAGCCCGTTGGGTGTATGTAAACCAGCTTAATTCTCTATTAATTTTCATGGGATTAAGAAATCTGATTAATTTCTATCTTCCTCTCCCCCCACCCCCTCTCCCCCACTCTCTCTCTCCCCCACCCCCTTCTCTCCCCACCCCCCTCTCTCCCCCACAGTTCCAAGCGGCGTTGCTCCAGCGGTGGAATCTGCCCCACTTCATGTGCCGCCTTCTCCTTTCTTCCAAAACTTGTTCAGCGTAAAACGTGTCGATTTTCACCCTTTACAGGCCATCGCGCGTCGGACCGGTTACCAGGGCCCATCGTCCCACCCGCTCAGCGCCCGGCAGTCCAAGTTTCAGGAGCCAAGGTAAGGGGTTGGGCGGGAGGGAGCCAACGGTAAGGTTGGGGGAGGGAGGAGCAAGTAAGGGTGGGGGGGAGCAAGGTAAGCGGGTTGGGGAGGGTTTGGGGAGGGAAAGGGAGGGAGGAGGGAAGGAAGGAGGGGTTTTTATGGAGAGGTTTTGGGGAGGGAGGGAGGGAGCGGAGGGTTGGGGAGGGGGTGGGAAAGGGGTTGGGGACGGGAAGGGAGAGGGGTTATGGGGAGGGGGAGGTGGGGAGGGAGGGGTTATGGGATAAGATGAGAAATAGTCGGTTAGGTAGTAGGAGAAAGAGAGACGATAGGGAGAGGGAGAAAGAGAGAGATAGGGAGAGGGAGAAAGAGGTGGGGAGAGAGGGAGAGTTGGGGAGAGGGAGGGGAGGGTAAGGAAGGAGGAGGGAGAGGTTATAGGGAGGTGGGGAGAAAGAGAGGAATGATTGGAGGTGAGGGAGGGAGGAGGAGAAGGGAGGGTGCCGAGGGAAGGAAGAGGAGAGAGGTGTATATGAGGAGAGGGTGGGGGAGGGGGTTGAGGAGGGTTGGGAGGCGAGGGAAGGGTGTTATGGGAGAAAAAGAGAAGAGGGTGGAAGGTGTGGGGTGGGATTAGGGAGAAGGAGGAAGAGGGAAGGGAGCAAGGGGTGAAGGGTGTGGAGGAGGGGGAGAAGAGGGGGAAAAGGCAGAGGAGGGTAATATAGGGTGGGGCGTTGGGGAGAGGGGGGAAAGGGATGGAAGGAAGGTTAAGTACGTCAGACTCCCCCATCGATTCGTGAAATCCAGCGATTTTGGAATGGGAATTTTGCCCAACCGATGGACTCCATTCCACTTTCGGCCCACGAAGGCGTTCGATGCTGATTAGGAACCCCAACGTGTGCGTCTATCGAGAACGAATGGAAAGTATTGGGCACGTGAGAATTCTATAGTGATAACAGTGAAACATGCAATATTTTTAATAAGAGAGTCCAAAATCATTTGAAATAATTTAGTTGAATGATATTTTAAATAATTATTCATATTAAGGTTATTTAAACAATATTTTACCTTTAAATTCGAGACTAAGGAATAACCGGATTAAAAAGTACAAAACAAAAAACATTACTATGGATTTCTCATTTGTGACTGACGAGATATAAACAAACACGTAACCGGCACGAGACCGATACAAGAAAGCTGACACGAACATATCCCAGCGAAAGAAAATATTCCAAATATGGAATTCAGGAGCAAATTTTTACTCCCTCCTAGAAATGGTTGGAATTCCAAGGAGACATGAAAGAATAGGCAAGAGTTATGGAGAAGGATTACGGATCCCATAGAGCGAGTTTGCTGCGATTTGTTTTGTTTTGATGGCGCGATTCCACTGGACAGAGCGCATGTGTTCTTTTCGCAGTTGTGGGACACCACGGAATGGATAGACGGGAAGAAGGAAAGAACGATCGTGGTTAAGTTCCAGCCCACAGAAAATCGCTACCTGAATCCCAGTGAAATTTATTGGTAGTGTAAGTGACAAGTTCCTTTATAGGAGGGGAGGGAGGGGAAAAGTAAAAAAAGGTGGTATATGTGTGCTGTAAGATAATTGTTTGGAATAATGACGTAAATTATCATTACTAGGTCTTTTTGTTACGTGCTTGTGTATGCGAAGTAATATATACTGTGGCAGGTGTTGTTTGTGTGTGCGGACTATGCGTCATATGTTGTACATGCATACGTAGTTTGAAAGTCTAGTGTATGTTACACTCTTGAGCTCGCTGTGCAAGTGGTCCGGTTGTAGTGCTATCAACACCCATATGTATGCATCCACCCAGTGTATATGTATCCAATCGCATATGTATGCGCAAGATCCACATGCTATCCAAGACGAGAAAGGGCCTGAAATGAGATCATAGAATAGATCTATTTGTGAAGTATCATCATTATTTTGNAGAGAGGGAGAGAGAGGAAGAGAGAGGAAGAGAGAGGGAGAGAGAGGGAGAGAGAGGGAGGGAGGGAGAGAATTCCTGCAGCCAATCGGAATGCATTCTCGATCAGCTGATAATACTTCCGCCAGGTTATCGCTGCATATATGTTTTCCAGCATTTCTTTTGTCTTATCAAGTCATTATCAGTTTCTGTATATTTTTGCCTTTTGTTACTGCGCATTTCCTTAATAGTGAGTGGCGGTTGTGGCACGAAGTTGCCACTGTTGGTGTTCAAATGAACATAAATTTATAATCATTTTCCTAAAGAACTCAGGACCGAGGTGTGTGGCTGGTAGGAGTTCCAATACGCGCGCGCGCGGGTGTGTGCGTGCGTGTGCGTGTGTGTGTGTGTGTGTGTGTGTG